GAACAAATGATCTGTCTGCATTTATAAAATTGTACCGAAACTTCCTGTTTCCATCACAGCTGTCATGATTTTGTTTCATATGGTATGACTTTACTCGCATAAAAACTGTGGAGGGGTCCATTTGAGCTTCGGCAGCTAACTGCTTCCATAGTATGTAAACGTGGTTAAAGAGCGACTGCCTTTAAAAAGCAACGAATCCCTTTGAAAACAACCTTTGTGGCATCATTATGAGCCAGAAACAGTAATTCTAGTGTCAACATTTTTCACTGAGGATGGGAGGACATGTCCCTCCCCACATTATGAAATTGCATTTTTGTCCCCCACAGTTTTATCATTGGAATGTGATACAAAACGAGGCAACGGTGTGCTTTAGGACCATTTTGGTCATAAGTGAATCTCGTCTAAAACGGAGATTGGAACATCCATGCATCACAACGGTAAATGAAGGTTGGGTTTTGATTTGACATGTTCATTTGCCCACTAACATGGGGTGAGCAGCTGCGGTGATAGCTCTCTATCCAATAGCATAGACAGTGTGACAGACCTGCTCAGCAGCTCTGACTGTTTACATAAGACAACACATCACAAATTTTTTTACTTGAGAAATACTGCACCAAACACCTATAATTACAGATTTCTTGAGTTATCTTAGATTCATTCTGGGGATTTTGAGGAAGTGATATATGCTTCTGCGTCTACAGTGTCTCGTGGGGGACAAACATCATTAACCAAATGCGGAATCGGTCAGGAAACACATCGCCAAGACTGAAATCTCGTTTTTCTAATGAGCAACAGAAAAACACAAGTGCCAATCGGCGTGTTCAGTGGCTCTTTAATGTTGACAAAACTAAATTCCTAGTGTTTGTGATGCCCGCTATTTGGTGCAACAGAGACCCGGTGGAGAGTGGGGTGAAATAGAAGAGTCACTGTCTGTTCTTTTGAGTTTTGATGTTGAGTCTTTACTTGACAAAGTAATGTTAGGATATATCAGTTATCCAGTACGAGGTTTTGTGCCGAACCCGCTGTAGTGTTTCAGGTGCCAAGTGTATGGTCATATTGCAGCAGTGCGTAGGAGGAAGATTCCTAGATGTGAGAAGTGTACAGGAAGGAATGAGACAAAGGAATGTGTAGTATCGGTGGAAAAAGTTGTGTGTGTTAACTCTAGGGGTACCCATGGTGCTGGAGATCAGAAGTGTCCGGTTAGAGAAAGGCATGTTGAGGTTGCTAGGATCAGAGTAGTGCAGAAGGTGTCATATGCTGAGGGAGTGAAGAGAGTAGTAGAGGAATATGGGTCCAGGGCGAAGGATCCTAAGAGGATCCCTGTGAGTAGGATAAGGCCAGTAGAGATTGAAAGGAATAACATGTGCTTCAGTAAGTGTGTTTCTTAGCGTCCAAGCCATCGTTATCAATTGTACCGCAGAAATGGAACGTAAATCACAGAAAATAGATGTTGTGCTGGCAGCTGCAGAAAAGTACTTGGGTGTAAGTGATTTTACTGCAGAAGAGTTACACGGTGTGTTGAACGATAGTGTCTTGTCCTCCCAGGCTGCTGGCCTGGTGTAGGATCAGATAGTGGTGAGGTTTTAAAGGGTCTAAGATTAGTTGGTACGGCAGTTTTTCTCCCTTTTCCCCATCCTTTGTCCCGTCCCTTTTTGTCTCACAAAGTGTAATGAATTCCCACTCCAGAACAGTAGGCGGAAACACAGGGCTAGATAAGACAAATAGATTAAATAGGGAGGCTGTGACAATACAAATTTAAAGAAGAAGAAGGTCAGATATTTTTTGGGTTGGTGAAATAGATTATGCGACAATTGCGATGGAAACGCTTTTATGCACAAATATTGATAGAAAAACCATAATGTCGTAAGCGATGATGTAGAAGCCTACTAACACACGACATATAAAAGCATGTAGAGTTTATAGGCAGATGGAATAAGTTATGATGAACTTCATAACTTATTTCATAACTTCATAACTTATGGTGGTTATATGCACGGTGATGAGCTTCATCCAAATGTTCTAATAAATATCGAGAGTAGGCTATAATTTGAATGACGCTGTTGCTAGCAGATTGTAATGGGCTGATGTGATGCTCCATTAGCCATTACAGGATAGGTACTGTTTGGCGTAGCAGTGAATTTTCGACCAACATTAACTATCTTCGTTCTTGATTCGGCCAAACATGTATCTTCTAAAATGTCCGTGTCCAGTTGCAGGTGGTTCGTTAGAATTTGTAAAATGCTCAGTTATTAAAATAAATAAATGTTTTGCTCCATGAAGTAATGCAACAATGTGTACGCCGCCATTTTGTCTATTTCAAATCTTCTCTCACTGATTGAGACAGTTGGGTCCATCCAGGGGTGAAAGTAAGGTGGTACTGTCCGGTACAGAGTCCCAGCAAAATAAATAGTGGGGGTACACCATACCGGTAAAACATGAGCCTATCACAATAATTAAAACAAAATGTCAAAAAAACTGTAGGCTATTACACCATTATTTATCATTACCGCATGTCAGAGGCATGAAAAACTTGAAAACGGGTGGTATAGCAGCCTATATACTCCAAAATGCGATGTGGTTCAATGAGAACACTGACATTTTAGGCCCACAGAGATCCTTTTGAAATAATAGGGATTCTATATGTAATTTTATGATTAGACCCATCATTTTTTGGGTGCGTGCACACATAGTCCCATACCGGGACAAAATGTAATCTACTTTCACCGCTGGGTCCACCCCAAAGTGCCGCATGTCACGATGACACATGTTCAAAACATCTATAAGTGACTTTCTTGAGGTTCACAATCATTTTTAGATACTTTCTCATGATTTGGACTTAATCTTAAAACATTAGCATATGGAAACAGTGCCAGGGATTGCTGTCATACCTTGTCCATAGACTGCTTACAGGGTAAGGAAACCAATATGTCATTTTGTAATTTGGGTGAACTATCCCTTTAAACTTCAATTGATTTATTCAGTACATGAAAACTTAAGTGCAAAAGTCATTTTATATACACTACATCATCACACACAGCATTTTATCCGCTAATAAGTCAGTTTGATGGAAACACTTCTGTTGGGAGAATGTGCATATTGTTTCTATGCTGATTTTCTATTCACCTGAAAATCTATCGCCAATTGGATGTCAACCTAGCTGATCCAGAATAGTTTATAAAACCACAAGCTCTTGATATTTCGTAAGTTACAATGACCAAGGTTTTCTAAATATTACACAATTTGTGTGTTTTGTACATAGATACAGTATTTTATTATTCTTTAAAACTATTAAGTTGCGCCATGTACAGTGAGGGAAAAAAGCATTTGATCCCCTGCTGATTTTGTACGTTTGCCCACTGACAAAGAAATGATCAGTCTATAATTTTAATGGTAGGTTTATTTGAACAGTGAGAGACAGAATAACAACAAAAAAATCCAGAAAAACGCATGTAAAAAATGTTATAAATTGATTTGCATTTTAATGAGGGAAATAAGTATTTGACCCCCTCTCAATCAGAAAGATTTCTGGCTCCCAGGTGTCTTTTATACAAGTAACGAGCTGAGATTAGAAGCACACTCTTAAAGGGAGTGCTCCTAATCTCAGTTTGTTACCTGTCCACTGAAGCAATCAATCAGATTCCAAAATCTCCACCATGGCCAAGACCAAAGCGCTCTCCAAGGATGTCAGGGACCTGATTGTAGACCTACACAAGGCTGGAATGGGCTACAAGACCATTGCCAAGCAGATTGGTGAGAAGGTGACAACAGTTGGTGCGATTATTCGCAATGGAAGAAACACAAAATAACTGTCAATCTCCCTCTGCCTGGGGCTCCATGCAAGATCTCACCTCGTGGAGTTGCAATGATCATGAGAACGGTGAGGAATCAGCCCAGAACTACACGGGAGGATCTTGTCAATGATCTCAAAGCAGCTTGGACCATAGTCACCAAGAAAACAATTGGTAACACACTACGCCGTGAAGGACTGAAATCCTGCAGCACCCGCAAGGTCCCCCTGCTCAAGAAAGCACATATACAGGCCCGTCTGAAGTTTGCCAATGAACATCTGAATGATTCAGAGGAGAACTGGGTGAAAGTGTTGTGATCAGATGAGACCAAAATTGAGCTCTTTGGCATCAACTCAACTCGCCGTGTTTGGAGGAGGAGGAATGCTGCCTATGACCCCAAGAACACCATCCCCACCGTCAAACATGGAGGTGGAAACATTAAGCTTTGGGGGTGTTTTTCTGCTAAGGGGACAGGACAACTTTACTGCATCAAAGGGACGATGGACGGGACCGTGTACCGTCAAATCTTGGGTGAGAACCTCCTTCCCTCAGCCAGGGCATTGAAAATGAGTCGTGGATGGGTATTCCAGCATGACAATGACCCAAAACACACGGCCAAGGCAACAAAGGAGTGGCTCAAGAAGAAGCACATTAAGGTCCTGGAGTGGCCTAGCCAGTCTCCAGACCTTAATCCCATAGAAAATCTGTGGAGGGAGCTGAAGGTTCGAGTTGCCAAACGTCAGCCTCAAAACCTTAATGACTTGGAGAAGATCTGCAAAGAGGAGTGGAACAAAATCCCTCCCGAGATGTGTGCAAACCTGGTGGCCAACTACAAGAAACGTCTGACCTCTGTGATTGCCAACAAGGGTTTTGCCACCAGGTACTAAGTAATGTTTTGCAGAGGGGTCAAATACTTATTTCCCTCATTAAAATGCAAATCAATTTATAACATTTCTGACATGCGTTTTTCTGGATTTTGTTGTTGTTATTCTGTCTCTCACTGTTCAAATAAACCTACCATTAAAATTATAGACTGATCATGTCTTTGTCAGAGGGCAAACGTACAGAATCAGCAGGGGATCAAATACTTTTTTCTCTCACTGTATCTTCTGTAAGCATGGTCTTCTGTGCCTCTCGCGCCTCCTAAAAAAGTATGTTATGTTCAAATGATATACCATTGTTGAAAGAAGGAGGTCGACTACAACATAGAAAGTCATATTTTATTGTAACACTGATAAGAATGGTAACACATTGAGGTAAGTTAAATAATCCACTTCTGTCAAGTTCTCTGTCCTGCAGTGGCACACAGTGGCACACAGCCAATCAGAGTTAGAATCCACAAAGTCTGCAGGAGCTAGTACCATCCCAAGTCTGTCCAGTTCACAGTTTTAATACAAAGTTGTTTTTTTCCTTTTGATAAAGTAGAGCACTAGTTTTTCATCATGACATCTCCATTTAGTTGGCTTACAAGTGTATTTTACAGGGTTTAGACTGTTAAAAAATCCCCTGAGGGAGAAGAGAACATTCTGGTGTTTTTGATATGAGAGAGAACAGAAGCCAATCCACTCCAGACATGACTTGCTGAGTCTGTTTCTGCTGATGTCTTGGCACGGTCTCACAGGGCACTATGAGATAGAGATAGGGGTTGAGTCCTTGGTGGGGAGGGAAGGCGGTCAAAGGATGGTCTCTCTACACAAAAGGCTTTGAGTGCGTTCAGAGGGTGAGGGAGAGGAGTCCAGGGGAGCAGGGGGGTTGGGAGGCCCTGGTGCTGTAGGTGGACGGCGCAGGGATGAGGAAGGGGAACTCAAGGCCCCACAGCTTTGGAGGTGCAGGTCTTCATGGGCACGCTTCCTTGGGCTGCCGATGATGCGTTGTGACTGTGTCATCACCTGTGCAAAGTAACAGACACAAACAAACAAATCCATAAATATAACTCACCAACAATTTAGACCAGAATGATACAACAATGGTTTCATTAAGTTATCAGACCAGCTTATTTTATGCATTCATATGCATTCATACTCATGCCCATCGATAGACGTACCTGATCTATGACATTGGCACTGAATATAGCTTCCTCCATGTGTCTCTCGTCAGACTTGATGACATACTTGATGCTGTTGACCACTTGCTGGACTTCTGGAGGTAAACTACAGTTGGAGTGCTCCAGGAATTTGGCCACCAGGATTTTGGTGTCTTTATACGTCTTGAGGTCAGCCAGAGAGTGTGGGCGCTCATTGGAGACCGTGTGCAGGGCTCGTGGTTTGAGGCGGATGTCCACTTTCCTCCCCTCCTTCTGCTTCCTGCCACTGCAGGTGCTGACTTTGGCAGCGGTGTGGAGAGGAAGCTGCCACCTCTGTAGACTCTGAACATACCGAAGACACAAACAGACAACAACATCCAATCAGGCGGGACTCAACACATTCAACACATTTGCACATTCTGTAGGTGAACGCTATTTTCTCCTACGAGTTGCTGTTCTAAATGGGTGTTTTGGCCAGAGGTACGTGTAGACTGCCAGGTTAGGTGGGGAGTGACCTGGTGGGGAAATGTGAAAGGCATACATTGTTGAGAGGTGGTAAAGGCTCTGGTGTGGTGGGCGTTACCTTGCTCTGGTGAAGTCTGAGGAGAATCTTCAGGAGGAGGGTTGCTTGCAGAGGGGCAGCCACAGCTGTCACCTGCAGAAGGGAGATGTTAACTTTATGGTGAACAAGTACTCATGCTAAAGTATATTATTTGCATTTCACCAAATTAAGTGATGCTAGTTACCTATAATTGTATCACTTATCACTACAGTCACAGTGGCAAGTGTGGTCTGATTAACCCTGTTCATCTCAACAGTAATGACAGAATCTTTCCTAACCAACATGTTAGTGCAACAACCCATGAGGAGCAGTGCCGTGCCGACACAGGAGCAACTAACGTACTTCCAGATATGGAGGTACAGGAGATAGGGTCGCTGGTGGAGCGTACGATTCGAGCCAGCTTGAGATACCGCCTGCCAGACCGGAGCATGCGGGGTCGCTCTGCGGGCGCAGAGGTAGAAGGGGGCTGCGAGGCCGGGGAGGAGGAAGAGGAGGATGGGGACCACACACTGAAGCACAGCCGGGAGCCACGGGGCCGGGCAGGGGGGGACGGGGAGGGGCAGGTAGGGAGGCTCTGGGCTGCTGAGGCTGCCTCTACGGAGGCTGTGGATGCAGAGGTGGAGGCAGAGGGCAGGGAGGGAGGAGTTGGAGGAACATGAAGAATCAGCTGCTTCCTACTGGCTCGTTCTCTGAGGTGTGTGTGTAGCGTTGCTCCTCCCTTGGCCTCCTCGTGCTCCAGTGTGTTGATGTTCTCTATGGACCAGTTTGGAGAGCGGGGAATGGAGTCCTGGTTGTGGGAGGAATCGCTGTAGCCAGTGTCGTCGAGCCGGGCCAGGCCATGGTGGCGGTGGGAGAAGCGGGCACTGAGCTCTAGACTGATACAGCTGCCATCAGTCGGGGCGGTGTGCAGCGTGCCGTAGGGAGAGGAGTCAGAGCCCTGCACCTCCAGGGAACAGAGATCCTCTGAAGAGCAACTGTGGTCTGGAATTTCTGCCACCTCCTCTGATACCATTAGAGAGGCACTGTCCACAGAGGCTAGGACAGGACACAGGAGAGCACAAGCATCAGCTGCACAGACCAAACTACAGTACAGGCATAGATATCAAACATGGCTCAACCCTATGGATGAGATACACCAGCCTGTTCACACACACAGTCAATGTGGTGTGAGGGATGGCTGTAGTGATAGTGATTAAGCCTTCCTTACCCTGAGTACTGAGACCAGCTGTGGTGTTTCTCTCACAGAGGCTGGACTCAGTGGCCTGCTGATCAATGCTGGTAGTGACCTGCAGAGAGGAGCAAATGGACACACACACACACATAAATTATTAGTTCTTACAGTTAACAAAGGAGACACATTTCCAAAGGGATAATGAGTGAGGGAACCAAACAATTCTGCCATTAGTGAAACCCATATTAAAGATGAGGAACAGGTGGGAGAGGCGGAGAATCCTTTTGGAGAACATCTGTCAGAGGCCTCTGCTTCTTCCCGACACATCTGGCAACCATGTGCTCAGTACCACACTCTGGCCAGTAGAGGGCTCTCTAAGCACACATCATCCACTCTACATCAGGAATTCCATTGGGATTTTAGAGGTGGTGAACTGTCACTATAATGTGGTTTTCTTAGATAATTGTATGCTTATTATGTTATGTGTTATGTGTGCTTGCTTTCTCATCCCATCATGATGAGTATTTCTAAATCATAGCAGTGAATATGAAAAAGGATAACCAGGGTCTTAGAAGCATGTAATGCTGTGTAGTGTCTGTAGTACCATTTAATATACAGTATGTTCCAATACAAAGCCTCAGTCTTACCGTTCATAAGCTGCAGTCACCTGTACAAACTGATCATTTGGGGTCCATGCCTCTATTCTAGTCAACCTGCTAGGTGAGCGATGAGAGTGGGATCCAGATCCCTCCGATTGCAGCTGCTCCCCTATGAGGCATACATCTAACAGCAACCAGTGCCCTCAGGTGCTCTCCCTGCATCAACACTTCAAAGGTATGTACTTCAGGTGAGAAAACGCTATATTGATTTGACCTCATTCACAGATTCTTTGTTAGAAGATCATTTTCAGAAAATCTGTGCGAAAAGCTCTAAAAGATGGGGGGGAAGCCTTTTGGTATTACATTTTAGAGCAAATAATATATGTTTAATTTTTTTGTTAAGCTTGCATTCAATTGCCACTCCCTGTTGCACACAACAAGCGTCCATTCCCCCTGTCACAAGGGGATGTATGGCTGATTTAAGATGAAATCGTCAACCCTGTTACAGTCAACCCTGTTACTTTATTTGGCACTTAATAGGCAATAACTATAGTCTTTAAAAAATGCAACCTCAAGAGATGGGAAAAATTGAACATGTGCTCTTTATGACAATATTAAAATGAGATGAAATCAAATGTTTGTTTTTTTACCAAGTTACACTTCTCGAATGCACCGAATTGGTGGAACGACCCAGCTGCATTAAAACAGGAAACCAACTATATTCCTTGAAGAAGTGACAACTCCCATTTTCTCCAGGTGGACAACAATAGTACCTCCATGAGTTCATAGGAAAAACAGGATGTTACATTAAACTCATCAAACTGAAATCTATACCTGCTCTGATGTTCTAGCAGAAAAGATGTGCCTTCTGTATCTCATCTAAAATAGACTTTTTCCATCACACCTATAGTGCATTCGGAAATTATTCAGACCCCTTTACTTTTTCCACATTTTGTTAGGTTACAGCCTTATTCTAAAATGGACTAAATAAATTGTTTTCCTCATCAATCTACACACAATACCCCATAATGACAAAGTGACAACAGGTTTTTAGAAATTTTAGCAAATTTATTAAAAATAAAAACAAAAATACCTTATTTAAATAAGTATTCAGACCCTTTGCTATGAGACTCAAAATTGAGCTCAGGTGCATCCTGTTTCCATTGATCATCCTTGAGATGTTTCTACAACTTGATTAGAGTCCACCTGTTGTAAATTCAATTGATTGGACATGATTTGGAAAGGCATACACCTGTCTATATAAGGTCCAACATTTGACAGTGCATGTCAGAGCAAAAACCAAGCCATGAGGTCGAAGGAATTGTCCGTAAAGCTCCGAGACAGGATTGTGTCGAGGCACAGATCTGGGGAAGGGTACCAAAACATTTCTGCAGCATTGAAGGTCCCCGAGAACAACAGTGGCCTCCATCATTCTTAAATGGAAGAAGTTTGGAACCACCAAGACTCTTCCTAGAGCTGGTGGCCCGGCCAAACTGAGCAATCGGGAGAGAAGGGCCTTGGTCAGGGAGGTGACCAAGAACCCGATGGTCACTCTGACAGAGCTCCAGAGTTCCTCTGTGGAGATGGGAGAACCTTCCAGAAGGACAACCATCTCTGCAGCACTCCACCAATCAGGCCTTTATGGTAGAGTGGCCAGACGGAAGCCACTTCTCAGTAAAAGGCACATGACTGCCCACTTGGAGTTTGCCAAAAGGCACCTAAAGGACTCTCAGACCATGAGAAACAAGATTCTCTGGTCTGATAAAACCAAGATTGAACTCTTTGGCCTGAATGCCAAGCGTCACGTCTGGAGGAAACCTGGCACCATCCCTACGGTGAAGCATGGTGGTGGCAGCATCATGCTGTGGGATGTTTTTCGGTGGCAGAGACGGGGAGACTAGTCAGGATCGAGGGAAAGATGAACGGAGCAAAGTACAGAGAGATCCTTGATGAAAACCTGCTCCAGAGCGCTCAGGACCTCAGACTGGGGCGAAGGTTCACCTTCCAACAGGACAACGACCCTAAACACACAGCCAAGACAACGCAGGAGTGGCTTCGGGACAAGTCTCTGAATGTCTTTGAGTGGCCCAGCCAGAGCCCGGACTTGAACCCGATTGAACATCTCTGGAGAGACCTGAAAATAGCTGTGCAGCGACGCTCCCCATCCAACCTGACAGAGCTTGAGAGGATCTGCAGAGAAGAATGGGAGAAACTCCCCAAATACAGGTGTGCCAAGCTTGTAGCGTCATACCCAAGAAGACTCAAGGCTGTAATCGCTGCCAAAGGTGCTTCAACAAAGTACTGAGTAAAGGGTCTGAATACTTATGTAAATGTGATATTTCAGTTTTCAGCAAAAAAATCTAAAAACCTGTTTTTGCTTTGGGGTATTGTGTTTAGATTGATGAGGGAAAAAAACAATTTAATCCATTTTTGAATAATGCTGTAACGTAACAAAATGTGGAAAAAGTAAAGGGGTCTGAATACTTTCCGAATGCACTGTATGTGTGTGCTGCTGTCTTACAGGAGGCCTTATGAAGTCAGCAGTGAATTGGGTCATCTGCAGAAGGAAATGTCACACATCTTTATTATGTATCCCTTATTAGAGCCCGTGGCAGTCATTTACACACAGAGAGAGAGGAGCATAACATCCTCTCACCTCACTAATCATCAACCCAAATAGAAACTAGCTAGCTTCTCTCTGTGTACTTCTCCTTCTCTCTTTGTGATCTCATACAACAACTTCTTCTGAAGTCAAAATGCCTTTCTTAGCACTCTCCTTTGTAGTTGTGTTCTTACAGTATGCATGTAAGCAGGAAAGTATTCAACAGTGAGAGGGGTTCTAAACTATTCTCAGACTGTGAATAGGGAATGTATAATGTTAGAAGAGGCTGGCTAGTACACTGGTCTTTTATGAGGGAAGGATGGTAGTGGTACTCACCTGACTGGCAGGGGTCTGCCCCATCCCCAGCCCCACCACAGACTCATATGACGGGGGCAACTCAGAGGGGTAGAGGGTCCCAGGGCTGTTGATGGGCACTCCATAGATGGCACTGAACGGGGAGTGTGGGAAGTCCAGATGTAGACTTCTGAATGAGAGAAACAGGAGGGAGGAACGGTGTGAGGAGAGAAAGAATACAAATATCCTCTTATTCCTCAATCCAGCAACACTTCAATTTAGAGTGAACACACACATTCAGTTGGTTGAGAAACATTAACAAAACTGTTTATTGCTTTTCATGTGTCGTTAATTAAAGATATCTCACCCATGCAAGAGCCATCTTTTTTTAATTAAAACCCATTCTCCTGTGAAGTGGCAAAGTATAAAATACAACTTGAGTGTCGGAATCAATCATCCAGCACATGATGATGTCATGACATGTTTCTGCCCTCAGCTAGGGGACTCAATAATGGGTTCCTCTACATGTTTCTATTTACAGCCTAATTGACAACAACACATGGCATCTAGCCAAGCAGCTGGATCAGCATGCTTTCAAAGATGTGGGAATAGAACTGACTCTCTTATACCAAGGGGAAGGAGATCAATGGCACATTTACACAAGGCCATGGATGTTACCAGTGCTCCTTAACAAACCACTACAACATTCTAATAGTCTGTACTGAGCATTGTGAGTGGCTTGGACCAAGGGCTCCACAGAATACATATTTAGGCCTGATCACCGACAACGATGAGACAGCCTATAGGGAGGAGGTCAGAGACCTGGCAGTGTGGTGCCAGGACAACAACCTCTCCCTCAATGTGAGCAAGACAAAGGAGCTGATCGTGGACTACAGGAAAAGGAGGGCCAACCAGGCCCCCATTAACATCGACGGGGCTGCAGTGGAGCGGTCGAGAGTTTCAAGTTCCTTGGTGTCCACATCACCAACAAACTATCATGGTCCAAACACACCAAGACAGTCGTGAAGAGGGCACGACAACACCTTTTCCCCCTCAGGACACTGAAAAGATTTGGCATGGGTCCCCAGGTCCTCAAAAAGTTATACAGCTGCACCATCGAGAGCATCCTGACCAGTTGCATCACCGCTTGGTATGGCAACTGCTTGGCATCTGACCGTAAGGCGCTACCGAGGGTAGTGTGTATGGCCCAGTACATCACTGGGGTCCAAGCTTCCTGCCATCCAGGACCCATATACTAGGCGGTGTCAGAGGAAGGCCCAAAAAATTGTCAAAGACTCCAGTCACCCAAATCATAGACTGTTCTCTCTGTTACCGCACGCCAAGCGGTACCGGAGCGCCACTCAAGGACATTCAGAGATTTGTCCCAAAGCCACTCCTGCATTGTCTTGGCTGTGTGCTTAGGATCGTTGTCCTGTTGGAAGGTGAACCTTTGCCCCAGTCTGAGGTCCTGAGCGCTCTGGAGCAGGTTTTCATCAAGGATTTCTCTGTACTTTGCTCCGTTAATCTTTCCCTCGATCCTGGCTAGTCTTCACCGTAGGGATGGTGCCAGGTTTCCTCCAGACATGACGCTTGGCATTCAGGCCAAAGAGTTCAATCTTGGTTTCATAAGACCAGAGAATCTTGTTTCTCATGGTCTGAGAGTCCTTTAAGTGCCTTTTGGCAAACTCAAAGTGGGCTGTCATGGGCCTTTCACTGAGGAGTGTCTTCCGTCTGGCCACTCTACCATAAAGGCCTGATTGGTGGAGTGCTGCAGAGATCGTTGTCCTTCTGGAAGGTTCTCCCATCTCCACAGAGGAACTCTAGAGCTCTGTCAGAGTTACCATTGGGTTCTTGGTCACCTCCCTGACCAAGGCCCTTCACCCTCGATTGCTCAGTTTGGCCGGGCAGCCAGCTCTAGGAAGAGTCTTGGTGGTTCCAAACTCCTTCCATTTAAGAATGATGAGGCCACTGTGTTCTTGGGGACCTTCAATGATGCAGAAATGTGTTGGTACCCTTCCCCAGGTGTGTGCCTTTCCAAATCATGTCCAATCAATTGAATTTACCACAGGTAGACTCCAAGTTATAGGAACATCTCAAGGATGATCAATGGAAATAGGATGCACCTGAGCTCAATTTCGAGTCTCATAGCAAAGGGTCTGAATACTTATGTATATAAGGTATTTCTGTTTTTTATTTTTAATACATTTGCAAATAATTCTAAAAACCTGCTTTGCTTTGTCATTATGGGGTATTGTGTGTAGATTGATGAGGAAAACAATTTATTTAGTCCATTTTAGAATAAGGCTGTAACGTAACAAAATGTGGAAAAAGAGAAGGGGTCTGAATACTTTCTGAATACTTTCCGAATGCACTGTATAGCTCAACATGTAAACAATGTGAGAGTTTAGCTATTCTCTGCTTCAGATGACAGATCCCCATAAGGCCAGTGATGCATGCCATATGATAAGCTGCAAAATGGATTCAGATAGCTGATATACTGAGACAATAAAATAAAATAGATTGGAGATCTTACAACTAGACAAAAAGGAAATGTTCATTTGAGAATACAACACAGAAACAGACACATTAGAGACAGAACCCCTTCTCTTCTTTATTGCAGGATTGTGATTAATCAACACTGACACTAGTTCATTTTGAATAATAGTTTAACAATTTAAACATCAACTTGTTTAAATTGTTAAACTATTATTCAAAATGAACTAGTGTCAATGTCAATGTTCATCACTACAAAAATATACAAATAAGCTAACTCGTATGTAAAGATTAGACATCTTAGTCTAAACAACAATAGAACATTGAGTGGTAGTAACAAGTAGGCTATTATTACTAAATCACAATTTCAGGTGAACAAAATACTCCATACCAGCGGTGACCAACCTTGCTCCACTGATCCCTGATCTACTGGGTAAGCAGACTTCTGTTCCAGCCCAGCAATAGCACACTTGATTATAAACTCATTAGGTTTGATAAGTTGAATCAGGTGTGTTTTTGCTGGACTGAAACAGAACCCTGCACACCTAGCAGACCTCCAGCAGGGCTGGCCTGGTCCAATTGTAATAGGTTTATACATTGTGTGTGATGTTTAACTGTGTTTTTGTATACATGTGCTAACATAGGTAGGCCTACACATAAATAACCCATGTGATATAGGTAGGCCTACCTATGTTAGCACATGTTGTTTACAAAAATACCGCTGGTATACACAATTGCTGTGTGAGAAGGTGTTAACGATAGCCATTGTTTTGTAAATGTAGGCTGAAAAGTACCAGTGGCCTGGCTTTGGCCCCAAGTGAGAGCAGGTCCACCAGAGCCATGGCCCAGACACAGGTGCCGGCCCACGTGGATGGAAACAGAAAAGTCTGAGCCTTTTAGGTAAAACACTGGGATAAATCCTGTATGGAAATGCACGATTAGTCTCTTGGGACATTCATTAGACCTCTCTCTTCATCTGCAGACAGGCTTTCACAGCTTTCCATATCTGAGGACAGAAAACATCACAAAGAAACAGGCTTCTTTATACTGAAATTAGTCAGCACTGAACATTATGTTGCTATTATCTCTCTGTCCTCAAAGTTTTTCCCTCTTTGGACTGGAACTGGATAATCTTTTCATAATGTTCTCCCACAAGGTTACCTGCCCTGTCCAGTAGCCTATACTCTCCCTTTACTGAAAGCTGGAGCTGCAATTTCAGCCTCTTCCATGGCTGTTATCTACAAATGCATTTGGAGACTGTTTTTAATTTACAATGATTACATCAAGATACTGTAGTTAGCTAATAGAAAGTTAGCTAGATGATGACATTGAATTCACTTAGCTAAACAGTGTGTAAAGTTAGCTTGCTACCTAGCAGCTCAGTTGAGTTAGCCTACAGTGGCCTACTAGTAGTGTAATACATAGTTTTTTAACATTTAAAAATATATTTACTTACTTCAATAGGTTCTCCCACTGCCTCCGTTTTTTCAGCCCTTATCTTTAATAATAATGGGCAAGATTTTTCGGTTGTAGCAAAGCGCAGCCAGCAGCCATATGGACGAATGGAGACAAGGTAAAAAGTGTGTTTGTCGACAGAGCAGTTTAGAACGTGTTGTGACGTTTGACTTAACCAGCGTACTCCACTTTCAATTTCAACAAATATAAATCGCAGCCTGTCGGCCACACTTGATCATTTGAAAAAGTGCACTACGGGTGTGTGGGGGGAGGGTTCTTGAAATGTAACAGCCAATCAAAATCTAACCGTTTTTGCAATACAAAATTCTCCAGGCATGACAATGACATGATTTTGGCGGTATGGCAACGCGAGTCTATATCAAACCCAATGTGACAGGTGCCAAAGGAGATGCTACAGCCAGTCATTCAAACAGGCATCACTGTAATGTTGTAAACCAGCTGTAGAGGAGAGGGCTATGTTGGTCAGCCAACACTCTGTCTGGTGGGAGGTTGTTAGGAGGTCAGAGTGTTGTGCTGCAGCCAGTACATCTGTACGTCTATCACCGAGGTGCAGGTGTTGCGTTTTGTTGCTTTGCTGTGGTACCTCTGTTCGCCCATCACCGGGGTCCAGGTGTTGTGTTGTGGTATGTTGTGTTTGTTCTGTTTTGTTGTGTGATGTTGTGTTGCGATACCTCTGTCCGTCCATCACCGGGGTGCAGGTGTACTCTGGGGGGTAGTAGGGTGGTGGAGGGATGGGTGGGATGAACTCGTCAAAGTCAAGGGTCTGGTGCAGGATGGTGCCGTGGGGGGTCATGCAGTCAGCGCTCAGGGCTCGTGCTCTGTGTGGCATGAACTGAAACAGACAGAGAGAGACACAAACCAGGCTTTTATTTCAGAGACAGTAAACCGTTGTCTATTTGTCTCATTCTGAAAGCTTTATACTGGGACCATTGTATGTGTTAATTTCAACAACATTCTATAGAAAAACGGCATCCAGAATAAGGTTATCTAGCAAACACAATTCTGTTTATTTTTGGAGACTTGGACAAAGGAACTATATGCAGTAGCAAGCGTCATTTTCGGTGGCAAAGTCGTTAAGGGCAAGACTAATAAAGACAGACACAATGGAGCAGGCTTTAGTAGGCAGCTAGCTTTATTCCTGGGAGCTGAAATCTTTCCTTGTGAAATGGGAATTAAGCCAGATTGTGTGTACTGGGAATAGGAGGAGACAGGCCCTTTGTCATTCAACCTCCTGTGACCTAACGGCTGTACAGGCCAGTTTAATCTCTCCTGGTCTGTGTTTTTAAAACAGTGGCGTGTCTCACATTCCTCCTGCTCACAACCAGACGACGACGTGCCATTGAGAAGTGCCCATTCAGGACGCACTGCAGTTCAGCCTGTCTACTTTGAAGTTCAAATCTGACTTTGAGAAATGTGCCCATCTGTCGCTTTGCGTCTGCCATCAATCATGTGTCATATAAGAACAGCATAGAACGTTTACATAGATATATTCATTATCAGTCAAAGACAAAGATATGAAAACCTCTCATTGAAATTCTGACTGAATAGTAAAACCTTGCCCTTACCAACCAAATCTGTATAATCTGTATAATTTTAGGTTACAAAAAGTATTGTTTTGCATTTTCTTTTAGCCACAAAAGATCAAGAAACTGAACCAGGTGCAAAGTCAATGCCCTGCCCTTAAGCTTATGGTCCTGTAGCTCATTATGTCTGTGCATTGACTGTGTAGCTGGGATCACTAGTGATGTCTTGTATTGCCACCCTGTGCTCTGAGATGAAACTAATCCCCTACTGCTCCAGTTGGCTGCAGCCTCCGCTCTAGCCCCTGCACCAGTCCCATTGCTAGTCCCTACATCTGCCCCAGCTCCAGCCCCAAACTCCTGCCTCACTAATATCATTCAGCTCTATCAATCTCCCACCCTGGGTTTATCTGCCATATACCCATCCAGGAGGCCACACAATTTACAGCTCAGCTCATAAACTGTACAAATCCTTCTCGTATACAATGTTAAACTTTATGCTCCAGAGATATTAAAGGGGTGCAGACAAACTCTGTGTCCGCTGATATTGCTTTGTTTTAATGGTGGCTATGAGGGCGCTACAGCACACCAATCATCTGGGAAAGTCATTCTTAATGGGCTGAGAGCATTGCTCTGAAGGGCACAGGGACCATCCCGCCATATTGATTTCCCTGATGACAGCAAAGCATTTAGGTTTTGGGCACAGTCATTGTTTCCCTTGTAATGCGAGGGGGTCATTTTAAGGATAGCATGCCTTTTAAGGTGAACATATTACCAACTACATTGTTTTCTTCAAATCCTCTGTGGTTTTTAGCGTGATGTGGAGATTCTGAATTGTTCTGGGATGGGTGCCCTTCGTGATGTGTGTTGACATTATCTAAGCTGGTCAGACCGAAGACAATTCATTCCAAATCTGTGTGGTACTACAGTACTACTGGTACTACTACCACCATCTGAGGGGGAGAATTATGAAGCCAGCATTAGAAGGCCAGGCGTGTTTACCTTTCATGATGGTTCAGAGCTGCTCTCCATAAGGCTATATATCAGTCTCATTGAGTCCAGGTCAGACAGAGTCAGAGACAGTGGCCATTGTGTTCTCTGTCACACTACTTACGATCTGTAGCACATCAGTGGAGACCATCTGCATGCAGCACATAGCAGTGGCCAGGGCACAGACGATGGTGGAGATGACATTCAGGGCACACACACTAAACAGGAGCTCCTACAGGACCCAGGCAGAGGGAGAGAGGGAAGGGGAAGAGGGAGAGAGAAGGGAGAGGGAGTCACATTTGAGCCACAGTGAGGAAAGATTAGCAAATATTACAGCATGAGAACACAAGAGAGGAGAGCAATATAGAGGGAACAAATTAATGAGAGACGGACTGAAGGTGACACAGACAATGGTGATGTCATTACCAAGGCGACACAGCACAGCGGGGACTAGCTAGCAGGGGAGCAATGACCTTCTCCCCTACCTCACCTCGCTGATCAACTCATCCTTGACCGCTGGCCATGTCCCTTCCGTCTTCAAGAGAGCGAGAGTTGCTCCCCTTCTCAAAAAACCAACACTCGACCCCACTGATGTCAACAACTACAGACCAGTATCCCTTCTTTCTTTTCTTTCCAAAACTATTGAGCGTGCCGTCTTTAGCCAACTCTCTTGCTATCTCTCTCAGAATGACCTTCTTGATCCAAACCAATCAGGTTTCAGGACTGGTCATTCAACTGAGACTGCTCTTCTCTGTGTCACGGAGACTCTCCGCACTGCTAAAGCTAACTCTCTCTCCTCTGCTCTTGTCCTTCTAGACCTGTCTGCTGCCTTTGATACTGTGAACCATCAGATCCTCCTCTCCACCCTCTCCGAGCTGGGCATCTCCGGCGCGGCTCACTCCTGGATTGCGTCCTACCTGACCGGTCGCTCCTACCAAGTGGCGTGGCGAGAAGCTGTCTCCGCACCACGTGCTCTCACCACTGGTGTCCCCCAGGGCTCAGTTCTAGGCCCTCTCCTTTTCTCCCTATACACCAAGTCACTTGGCTCTGTCATATCCTCACATGGCCTTTCCTATCATTGCTACGCTGACGATACACAACTAATCTTCTCCTTTCCCCCTTCTGATAACCAGGTGGCGAATCGCATCTCTGCATGTCTGGCAGACATATCAGTATGGATGACGGATCACCACCTCAAGCTGAACCCTGGCAAGACGGAGCTGCTCTTCCTCCCGGGGAAGGACTGCCCGTTCCATGATCTCGCCATCACGGTTGACAACTCCGCTGTGTCCTCCTCCCAGAGTGCGAAGAGCCTAGGCGTGACCCTGGACAACACCCTGTCGTTCTCCGCCAACATCAAGGCGGTGACCCGCTCCTGCAGGTTCATGCTCTACAACATTCGGAGAGTACGACCCTGCCTTACACAGGAAGCGGCACAGGTCCTAATCCAGGCACTTGTCATCTCCCGTCTGGACTACTGCAACTCGCTGTTGGCTGGCCTCCCTGCCTGTGCCATTAAACCCCTACAACTCATCCAGAATGCCGCAGCCCGTCTGGTGTTCAACCTTCCCAAGTTCTCTCACGTCACCCCCATCCTCCGCACACTCCACTGGCTTCCAGTTGAAGCTCGCATCCGCTACAAGACCATGGTGCTTGCCTATGGAGCAGTGAGGGGAACGGCACCTCTGTACCTTCAGGCTCTGATCAGTCCCTACACCCAAACGAGGGCATTGCGTTCATCCACCTCTGGCCTGCTGGCTCCCCTTCCTCTGCGGAAGCATAGCTCCCGCTCAGCCCAGTCAAAACTGTTCGCTGCTCTGGCACCCCAATGGTGGAACAAGCTCCCTCACGACGCCAGGACAGCGGAGTCACTCACCACCTTCCGGAGACATTTGAAACCCCACCTCTTTAAGGAATACCTGGGATAGGATAAAGTGTTCCTTCTAACCCCCCCCCCCCCCCCCCCAATTGTAAAGTGGTTATCCCACTGGCTATAGGGTGAACGCACCAATTTGTGAGTCGCTCTGGCTAAGAGCGTCTGCTAAATGACGTTAATGTGCCCTTGAGCAAGGCACTTAACCCTAATTGCTCCTGTAAGTCGCTCTGGATAAGAGCGTCTGCTAAATGACTAAAATGTAAAAATGTAATAAAAGCAGCAAATCGCCCCTTACATCTGAGAATGATCCAACCAAGAACACAGTCACCCTCATAGCTCAGCACTGCATTTCCTGCAGTGCCATCCTCTTCCACTCATTAAACCATGTGGGAATGAAGCAATATGAATCCCTGCCGGCCCTGACACTTCAGGTCATAAAAGCCTGTTTACAGACAGCTAGCTAACTGCAGCCCAGACTGGCTGCTTTGAACCCCCAGTCAGCTGCATTGCTTACAACCACAGGAACAGTCTTGAAAGAAATGAAACACCCACACTGGCCAGTAAAAAAATTGTGTGAGTTTGACATTTGCCCAAGCTCTCTTTTTATTTTGACATGTGTTCACCATTGGGAGGCAACCAATGTTGAAAGTTGTTGAGGTTATGCAATGGATTCCCATTGATATTGTCACGATCGTGTGAATGATGAGACCAAAGCGCAGCGCGTGTTCCGAGAAACATGATGACTTTATTTACTTAAAGTGCAACACGAGAAAACAACAAAGAACGATACGTGAAGTTCCACTACTGATAACGACAGCAACAAGGAAACAAAAACCCACAAACCCCACAGGACAACATACAGCCTAAATATGGCTCCCAATCAGAGATAACGAGCCGAACAGCTGACACTCGTTACCTCCGATTGGGAGTCAATGAATACAAACACCCAACATAGAAATACCACAACCTAGACACCCCAACATAGAAATACACCCAAAACAAATGAACATGAACAACCCTGGCTCAAGAATAAAGGTCCGTGGAGCCAGAGTGTTACATTACCCCCCCCTAAAGGTGCGACCTCCGGGCGCACCAGCAAACAGTCTAGGGGAGGGTCTGGGTGGGCGTCTGTCCAGGTGGCGGCTCTGGCCCAGGTCGTGGTCCCCACCCCACCATAGTCATTACCCACTTACTTAGCCTCCTACACATTACCACCCCCCCACTACACCCCACTGGGTTAAGGGGCGGCACCGGACTAAGGGGCAGCACCGGGCTAAGGGGCAGCACCGGGCTAAGGACCAGCACCGGGATAAGGACCAGCACCAGGCTAAGGAACAGTACCTGACTAAGTGGCAGCACCGGACTGAGGGGCAGCTCCGGACTGAATGGCGGATCCTGGCTGGCTGGCTCAGGCGGATCCTGGCTGAACGGCTCATGGCTGGCTGAAGGATCTGGCTGCTCATGGCTGGCCGACGGATCTGGCTGCTCATGGCTGGCCGACGGATCTGGCTGATCCTGTCTGGCCGAAGGCTCTGGCTGATCCTGTCTGGCGGAAGGCTCTGGCTGATCCGGTCTGGCGGAAGGCTCTGGCTGATCCGGTCTGACGGAAGGCTCTGGCTGCTCCGGTCTGACGGAAGGCTCTGGCTGATCCGGTCTGACGGAAGGCTCTGGCTGATCCGGTCTGACGGAAGGCTCTGGCTGATCCGGTCTGACGGAAGGCTCTGGCTGCTCCTGTCTGGCGGAAGGCTCTGGCTGATCCTGTCTGGCGGAAGGCTCTGGCTGATCCTGTCTGGCGGAAGGCTCTGGCTGATCCTGTCTGGCGGAAGGCTCTGGCTGATCCTGTCTGGCGGAGAGCTCTAGCGGCTCCGATCTGGCGGACGGCGCTGAAGGCTCATGGCAGACGGGCGGCTTTGTAGGCTCTGTACAGACGGGTAGTTCAGACGGCGTTGGGCAGACGGACAGTTCAGACGGCGTTGGGCCGACAGGCAGTTCAGGCGCCGTTGGGCAGACGGGCAGTTCAGACGGCGTTGGGCAGACGGGCAGTTCAGACGGCGTTGGGCAGACGGGCAGTTCAGGCCCCGTTGGGCAGACGGACAGTTCAGGCCCCGTTGGGCAGACGGACAGTTCAGGCCCTCTGAGGCGCACCGTAGGCCTGTTGCGTGGTGCCGGAACCGGAGGTACCGGGCTGAGGACACGCATCACAGGGCTAGTGCGGGGAGAAGCAACAGGGCATGCTTGGCCCTGGGGACGCACCGTAGGCCTGATGCGTGGTGCCGGAACTGGAGGTACCGGGCTGAGGACACGCATCTCAGGGCTAGTGCGGGGAGTCGGAACAGGGCATGCTGGACCCTGGGGACTCCCATAACGCCTAGTGCGGGGAGCCGGAACAGGGCATGCTGGACCCTGGGGACTCACCTCACGCCTAGTGCGGAGAGCAGGAACAGGCCGGGCTGGGCTGGCGACGCGCACCGTATCCCTGGTGCGAGTGGCCGGAACAGGCCGGGCCGGGCTGGCGAAGCGCACCGTATCCCTGGTGCGTGGAGTAGGAACAGGCCGGGCTGGGCTGGCGAAGCGCACCGTCTCCCTGGTGCGTGGAGTAGGAACAGGCAGGGCTGAGCTGGCGACGCACACCGTATCCCTGGTGCGAGTGGCCGGAACAGGCCGGGCCGAGCTGGCGAAGCGCACCGTATCCCTGGTGCGTGGAGTAGGAACAGGCCGGTCCATACCGGGAACACACACCACTGGCCTCAACCGAGGATCAGGAACGGGCCGGACCGGACTGGCAACACACCTCAGTCCTTCACGCCGTGCCACACACACATCCCTGCCTCTTCTCGCCAATGGCTCCCGTACTCCGTTAGCCCTCTCACCTATACTCCCTGTGGCAGCTTCCTGCTGCCCAGCCACCCAAGCCATGTGCCCCCCCCCAAAAACTTTTTGGGGTTGCCTCTCTTCCACGGGCTTCCAGCCTCGCCTTCGCGCTGCCTCCTCGTACCACCTCCTCTCGGCTTTGGCTGCCTCCAGCTCTTCCCGAGGGCGGTGATACTCCTCCGGTTGTGCCCAAGGACCCTTTCCAGCCCGGATCTCCTCCCATGTCCAAAAATCTTTAGGAGGCGTCCATAACTCCTGGACGCGCTGCTTGGTCCTTTTTTGGTGGGTTTTTCTGTCACGATCGTGTGAATGATGAGACCAAAGCGCAGCGCGTGTTCCGAGAAACATGATGACTTTATTTACTTAAAGTGCAACACGAGAAAACAACAAAGAACGATACGTGAAGTTCCACTACTGATAACGACAGCAACAAGGAAACAAAAACCCACAAACCCCACAGGACAACATACAGCCTAAATATGGCTCCCAATCAGAGATAACGAGCCGAACAGCTGACACTCGTTACCTCCGATTGGGAGTCAATGAATACAAACACCCAACATAGAAATACCACAACCTAGACACCCCAACATAGAAATACACCCAAAACAAATGAACATGAACAACCCTGGCTCAAGAATAAAGGTCCGTGGAGCCAGAGTGTTACAGATATGACAGGTGAAATCTCTGATAACCTTGGTATTGTTGTGACCAGAGAGCTCGAGACTCACACAGCCTTTCACAGATACAGCCTACATTTGGCAGGTGAGGTCCCGAGTCTATGAAACAGATCCTTTCTCAGTCAGTCCCTTTGAGAAACACATTGTGTGATGAGCAGGCAGCTTAAAGCTAACGCCTGCCTCTCTGGAGACCGACAGGAGATGGGAATGAGGAGGGGCCTTACAGAAACACTGTGAAAAAGGACATCTCATCACCACCATGGACCATGGTAACCAACCAAGACCATGAACAGTGGTTTAAGGCCCAGAGTTTTTCTGTTCAGGTTGCATGGTCAAGAAAAACTCCTGTCCCGAAAACAATCTCCTATAAGGTTGGTATGTGGAGTACTTCAACACAGCTTTACAATAACAGCTCCATTGTAAACGAGCATGGATCAACATGGAACCATCTCTCTTCCTAGTCTCTGTAGGTAAGGTGATAATAGACCCCTGAAGAGGCATCTGTGTTCCAAGGTTATGCATTGACATAAGCTGATTTATTGAATTCTCAGCAATAATTAATATGCATGCTAGTGAAATTGAACCCCATGCAACCTGAAAATAGACTCTTGATTTCACCCCATGTTGCTTTTCTTTGTTACTTGGCTAGACATAAAGGTGAAATAATAAGCCGGTAAGTGTCCTCACCCATACAGTTCTGTTATTTTTCTAATAGCTATCTTCTGGCATTCTGATCATGTAGATACTGAATAGGGAGAAATGCACAGCCTGAGCTAAACACAGTGAGGACCACAAATTGCCATGGTATTTGACTCTCATACTAAATACTGTGTTTACATTTTCAAACAGACAATAGAGGGCTATTATGGGTGAACAATGTTTGTTTGGAACACAGTATTATTTTCATAGGGATATTCACTGCACATAGAAGTACCACTGTATGGCATAGTGTCAGAGTAGCTGTGGAGAGATATTTGACAAGGAGAGTTGTCACGGATGCCGCCGAGGCTGCTCCTCCTCCTTGCTCGGGCAGGCTTCGCGTTCGTCGTCCCCGGAGTACTAGCTACTACCGTTTTATGTTTTCGATGTTTGTTTTGTCATGTCTAGTTAGTGCACCTGTTTCGTATTCTGTATTGATTGTGTCACCTATAAGTTCCCCTATGTTATGTTTGTATCTTGTGTGTTATTGTTCCACCTGTCGTGTTTTGATAGGTTCGGGGCCTTGGCTCTACATAGTTGTTTTAAGCACTCCGCGTATTTTGACTTTTCTTGTTGTTTTACGCACTGCGCGTATTTGTTCGCCTCCAGTGTTTTGAGGCCGTTTATTTTGTGTCTATTTCAAGTGTTAGTAAAGTCGTCTTGACTTATCCTCTGTGTCCTGCGCTTGACTCTACCACCGCATCCACATCAGCACACTCTGACAAGAGTAGACAGACCTATAGGTCAAACAAGAGGCAGATCTGTCACTTCTGGCCTTCAACAATGTTCTATCACTTCCCTGTCTGGCCTAATATGATCAAACCTTAACATGCAAACAGGATAATGTTATTAGTTCTGACTCAGTCACTTTATTTGACACATGGGAACAAAGTGCTAGCTTGGCAGAGACACTCCTGTGTACTTAGAGAGATGAATAATACATGTAGATTGGTCCTTGAGTATAAACATGCATTGTAATGGATTTACTCTTTTCAAAAAGGAGACATTTAGTTTATTTTCCTTTGCATTATATCTTGTTTGAGGTGTTGACAGAGATGATTTCTCCTCATCTTTTTGGGATATGTTCCTATTCCATGCCTTGTTAGTCACACAAACCCAATCCAGATACTGGGAGTATCAGGAGACACATGTCCTCATTCAGTGTACTGTAGCCTATTTTATTATTTAGTTGTTTTTGAGGTGTTGCATCACCTTGTGCATCAAATCTACCAAACAAACCGGCATCAATGGTAAGTTCAATGGCTCACTCTGGGGGAAAGGAATAGAGAAAGGAGGACGCAAAATGAATGATTCTTGAGCTTCACTTACAATTTCAAGGAGAGAGAGAAAAATAGACTGATATTCCAGAGATCTAGGCATTGAATATGTACTGTACATGTCATTGTCCAGTCGCATCAAAAGCATAATGTGAAATAAAAAGAATAGATTGGAATTCAAGTTTTGAAAATCCCAATGGTATGTTTTGTGCAGTTTCTGGTATAATGTTATTGCTGTTTTGTTGCTTTGCGAAATCATGCTGTTGCTTTGTGAAGGAAGATTAGTATGCATAGCATATACACTACCAGTCAAAAGTTTGGACACACCTACTCATTCAAGGGTTTTTCTTTATACATTGTAGAATAATAGTGAAGACATCACTATTGTAAGTCGCTCTGGATAAGAGTGTCTGCTAAATGACGTAAATGTAAAATGTAAATCAAAACTATCAAGGCGCTATTTGAAGAATCTTAAATATAAAATATATTTAGATTTATTTAACACTTTTTTGGTTACGACATGATTCCATATGTGTTATTTCATAGTTTTGATGTCTTCACTATTATTCTACAATGTAGAAAATAGTAAAAATAAAGAAAATCCCTTGAATGAGTAGGTGTGTCCAAACTTTTGACTGGTACTGTACATTTACACTAAATCGTACATTCATAAAGCGAATACTTAAAATACCCTTCATGAGTCATGGGCTATATTGAACATAATGACTTGTAAGTGTTTCTAAGTGCTACATACATGTATTCCCTGTGAAAGAAATGAACACACGCATGTGGTCCATGGCAACACACTATAAATCACATCTTTATAAACTAAAAATACAACTACATATTATTGTTCAATTTTCATGGGTTTTGGGCGATCCTAAAACACAGACAGCACATTTGTGTTCTAGCTGTGTTGTATACATCTGCCTTGCAGATGTGAGAAGAAATATTACTTGTGTGTGTTTTCCCTGGCGACTAACAATTGCATATTGACATGGTAAATCATGTCAGGGTAGCAACTGTAATAATACCTTGAAGGAAGCTGTTAATAGGCTGTTCATACAGAGTTTAACCTCCCTGAACACAACAGCCCTGCCTGCCTACCTGGAGCCAGGCTGGGGTCAGGAGCTCCATTGCCAAGGTTACACACCCTGCCTTCACTCAGGAATCCACAAATTAACTGAATCCTCGCTCCACACTCATTACTCATGGCTTTAGGCAGTGACGGGAGAAAATTCAGGAAGAGGAACATGTGTGAATGAAACCAATACTTTGGGGTATAAGTATTAAAATATATATGGGGATATGAACCTATTCTCTTTTTTACAGAAAAAAAACTGGTTCTGTTTTTTACAGGTTCTGGTTTGAAATGGGTAGTTAACTGTGAACTACATTGATACGTCAAAGTGGTGACATACATGCAATGCATCTAACTGGCTAGGCTGTGTATTGGAGGGAAGTTTCTAGGCAGACAGCAGCAGTTTTACTTATCACCATTCATATCTAGACAGAGGATAATGGAGAGCTGTGATGGCCATTGCCTTATGTGACATCTGACATAACTCACCCTATCTGACTTCCTTAGCACGTAATACAGTTTTATAGCGTCCATTCGGACATATTTTTAATGGGCTATGATCATGATGACTAACAGGGTTTGATCTTTCCTCTTTCATACCCATGCTTCATTTTAAAGGGACTTTTATTTAGTTATCAATGTTTTATAATCCATCAATGGCATGAAATGAAAGCATGTGAACACTGTAATCCAATTAAGATGTAGCAGCATATAGATCACCATGCCGACAGAAGGCTTTTCAGTTCATATAATCTCCAGAGATCATGAACTGAGCGAACTAGCAAAGCCAAGCCGACAGACCATGCAATTAATGACTAAGAGCTATGTGTGGAGCAGGAGACAAATGCGTATGTCATTCTCAGTTTCCTATTCTTTTATGAGCCTATACGTTTCAACTTGTGTTTTACATTGTCTGTGTATCAGCTAAGCTCCCATGACTTGTTATTCATTACACAGATGAAGTACAGAGTAGGATAATATTTCAGCTTGAAGAGGATCAAGTTATATGAACAACATAACATAATAGGAATCATTTCCTTAGAACGAGGCTATAGAGTACACATCAAAGAAGAAATGGTGTAACATACACATACCTGTCTATTCACACACATGCACACGCACACACACACTCTCACACTTCCACCCACCTTGAGGTGTCGGCGTATGGTATTGCAGTCGCTCAGTGGATTCAGTTTGAGCGTCTCTCCCAGGTTGTTGCAGCTGGAGCTCTGGTGCTGCAGCTCACAGCACACACACACACCGTCACTGTCAAACTTTATCTGGGGACAGAAAGGACACACACACCATGACTGTCAAACTTTATCGGGGGACAGAAAGGACATGGGGTAAGTAAAGGGGCTTTGGATACCAATGAGACCTCACTGTACTCTTTCCCACACTTGATAATGTTACAACACACCCTAGCCCTGTGTCTTCTCTTCCTCCCTTTGCATAAAGCAGAATCTTAAGGCTTCTCTATGATGGAGATCAGACTTGCACCTCTGTCTCTGCCCGCTCTGATACTTTCTCTGCCAGAATACACTCTTAGAAAAAAAAGGTGCTATCTTGAACCTAAAATGGTTCTTCGGCTGTCCCCATAGGAGAACCCTTTGAATAATCCTTTTTGGTTCCAGGTAGAACCCTTTTGGGTTCCATGTAGGACCCTTTCCACAGAGGGTTCTACATGGAACCCAAACGGGTTCTACAAGGAACCATAAAGAGTTCTCCCTGGACCAAAAAGGGTTCTCTTATGGGGACAGCCGAATAACCCTTTTTCTAAGAGTGTAGGTCTCTAACATGACAACAGCGGGATCTACAGTGCAGGAGGATTACATAACACAGTGAGTTGTAAGGCAGAATTAACAGGGGTAGGATCTTGAGGTGCTGCTACAACTACTAACTATGTGACCCAGATTGTAAGGAGGTGGGATATGAACCTACCCATCACAGGTTAATTGCATGGGGGAGTGAAGTCCATTAATATTTCAGTCATAGTGGGGAATGTATGGTCTCCAAGGAGTCGTGTACAGTAGCAAGGGGAACTGGGGAGAGGCATTTAGTCTCGTATGCTAATCACTCAGTCAGCAGTAGTGATGTGCTGCTGGTGACAATGACAGATCTCTGGGACGTTGTTCTAGCCTGGCTCTATACTCAACACACTATGAAGAATGCAAGCTCTACAGGGCAAAATGTGACTACCTCTCTCTCTCTAGAAGGAGATAGAAAGTAGAAACTGAGGGAGAGATAGATAGAAGAGAGATGAGAGTGAGAGAGAGAGATGAGAGCAGAGAGAGAGAGAGAGAGAGAAGAACGAGAGAGATTAGAGAATAGGATGATAGATATACTAATGAGCTGAGCTAGCTTCGTCTAGAGATATGTCGCGCTCAGAGATGAGAGATTCTCTAGAGTCTCTATCCCTCCTCTATGCTCTCTCTACTCGATATCTATATCTCGCGATCTCTCTCTCTCTCTCTCTCTCTCTCTCTCTCTCTGCTCTCTCTCTCTCTCTCTCTCTCTCTCTCTCTATCTCTCTCTCTTATGTCCGCTCTCACTCTCTCTCTCGCTCTCTCTCTCTCACTCTCTTTCATACTGTGGAGATCCTTGGAGGAAGTAGGCTCATGTGTGTTGATGCATGATGTGGTGTAGATGTTTGCGTGTTCCTCATGCCCCAGCAGACTAGACGACACACAGGGGGTCTTGCAGTATGTCAGTGTCATATGAATGAACAATTACATTAGAATATCTAAGTCTGCAGAGCAGCACAACCATTGCAGTGGTGTTGTTTTTATTTAATGGTACAGTGTATGACAGATTTATTGCATACTACAAGTGATAAGGGTTTTGATACAATGTAAGATACCTTAGATAAGGAAGCTCTATATTTCTGCAGATTTCTACGTTTTGAATGTGAAACGGCGCGTGAGTCACTAGACACAACCGGAGTGGTAATCTATCAGCCTTAGCCACATGAGCACTTCACATAGGACCCATCATGCATTTCACCAGACCATCCAAAACAGGCTTGATGAGACAAGTGGTTTTTCATTAGCCCAGAGAATCACCGCCATCAATGGAGCAAGCCTTTCAGTTCACCAATGGAGCAAGCCTTTCAGTTCACCAATGGAGCAAGCCTTTCAGTTCACCAATGGAGCAAGCCTTTCAGTTCACCAATGGAGCAAGCCTTTCAGTTCACCAATGGAGCAAGCCTTTCAGTTCACCAATGGAGCAAGCCTTTCAGTTCACATACAAAAAAGAGAACACCTCCTGCTCTGCTCTGGTTCCTGCTTTCAATTCCAGAAGCAGTGAAAAATCTATTTCTACTCAGACAAAAACTGCATAAAAGTGGTTGATCCTTTCCAAAAACATGGGATAACCTCTGAACTAGTTATGCCTTCTGAACACATTATGCACCTCACCTAAGCCCAAAGCATGCCCAGGGAATGCTACCGTTTGTCCTCGGCATACCCTGGGGCTCTATCAGGTAGGCCAGCAGTCCTGATGGGGATTTTAGTGTACATCATGTGCAGGGCACTAGTGATACCTGTCACCTCCTCCCTCCTCCCTCCTCCCTCATCCCTCATCCCTCCATCACATACAGACTCAGAAATGTCCTAAATGATGCAATTCATTTTGCAGCAATCACAATACATACAGGTTAAATCACATATTTAAAAACAATATAATCAGAATAGCAAAGGATATTTACAAGGAGGTTGGCAGGATAGACAGGCTCCCTGAGAAAGAAGTCTGGTTCTCCTCCGCTCTGCAGATCATTCCTCTTCACAGAACCTCCCTTCTACGGGCCCAAACACGTTACATCACAACTCGTGTCACCCGTCCCTAGTGTTGATGACGGGCGTAAAACATCTTGACAAATGTCTTGAGATGTAATGCCATGCCAAGCTACATTGGGCAGCGTCAAACAGTGGCTTTAATGTCAACTTCCTGGAAGTGATTCAAGGAGAGGGCTTAAGCAGAGTGTCACAGGGAGGGGAGTGGTGCCATGCTAAAACGTTTATTTGTCACATGCGCCGAATACAACAGGTGTAGACCTTACCGTGAAATGCTTACTTACAAGCCCATAACCAACTGATAGCACACTCTCTGTGTGACCAGGTCCAGTAAACTATTACGTCACTCCGGCAAGAATACAATTTACAAAGCTAGGTTTCAAGTTGAGTCAACAGCTCAATAGGACATTTATGGATTTCTAATGTATACATTATTTTGATTTATTCACTATGCATTTCAAATGCAACATTGGTTGTTCATGGTGATGAAATACTCCAGTCGGTTGGACTATACAGGTGAATTACAGCTAACTGGAGAAAGGTCACCTCAGGAGCCTGGATGGAATAATAGATAATCCTTACTTGGAATGGAAATGAATTCAATAAAGCCTAGCGGGGTTTATGTCTCCACTGCAAAGCCTGCAAACAATGCCAGAGTGTTTAATTGATTAGACCAACTAAATTAGAATTCCCATGTGATTAATGTGGCTAGAATAGCGGATCCTCAGTGTAATTATCAACATCAGTCATGTGAGGAGAATCATCCTCAGTTTAACTATTATGATGATCCGTTTTCCTCTTATGCTTTCTGCTTGACAGATGTGTTATTTCCAATGTTCTAAAATTATAAGAATAAAACATTCTTTTTTTGCAAAGAGATGGTTTGACTCAATATAACTAGAGCCTAGTTGTCTTTGCCTCCCCTGCTACTAGGTCTGTCTGTGCTACTAGGTCTGTCTGTGCTACTAGGTCTGTCTGTGCTTTTAGGTCTGTCTGTGCTTTTAGGTCTGTCTGTGCTTCTAGGTCTGTCTGTGCTACTGGGTCTGTCTGTGCTTCTAGGTCTGTCTGTGCTTCTAGGTCTGTCTGTGCTACTAGGTCTGTCTGTGCTTTTAGGTCTGTCTGTGTTTCTAGGTCTGTCTGTGCTTCTAGGTCTGTCTGCGTTTCTAGGTCTGTCTGTGCTTCTAGGTCTGTCTGTGCTTCTAGGTCTGTCTGTGTTTCTAGGTCTGTCTGTGCTACTGGGTCTGTCTGTGCTACTGGGTATGTCTGTGCTTCTAGGTATGTCTGTGCTTCTAGGTCTGTCTGTGCTTCTAGGTCTGTCTGTGCTTCTAGGTCTGTCTGTGCTTCTAGGTCTGTCTGTGCTCCTAGGTCTGTCTGTGCTTCAAGTCTGTATGTGCTACTGGGTCTGTCTGTGCTACTGGGTCTGTCTGTGCTTCTGGGTCTATCTGTGCTTCTAGGTCTGTCTGTGCTTCTAGGTCTGTCTGTGCTACTGGGTCTGTCTGTGCTACTGGGTCTGTCTGTGCTACTGGGTCTGTCTGTGCTTCTAGGTCTGTCTGTGCTTCTAGGTCTGTCTGTGCTACTGGGTCTGTCTGTGCTATTAAGGTATGTCTGTGCTATTGGGTCTGTCTGTGCTTCTAGGTATGTCTGTGCTTCTAGGTATGTCTGTGCATTGGGTCTGTCTGTGCTATTGGGTCTGTCTGTTCTACTAGGTCTGTCTGTTCTACTAGGTCTGTCTGTGCTTCTAGGTCTGTCTGTGCTACTGGGTCTGTCTGTGCTATTGGGTCTGTCTGTGCTATTGGGTCTGCCTGTGCTACTGGGTCTGTCTGTGCTACTGGGTCTGTCTGTGCTACTGGGTCTGTCTGTGCTTCTAGGTATGTCTGTGCTTCTAGGTCTGTCTGTGCTTCTAGGTCTGTCTGTGCTTCTAGGTCTGTCTGTGCTTCTAGGTCTGTCTGTGCTCCTAGGTCTGTCTGTGCTTCAAGTCTGTATGTGCTACTGGGTCTGTCTGTGCTACTGGGTCTGTCTGTGCTTCTGGGTCTATCTGTGCTTCTAGGTCTGTCTGTGCTTCTAGGTCTGTCTGTGCTACTGGGTCTGTCTGTGCTACTGGGTCTGTCTGTGCTACTGGGTCTGTCTGTGCTTCTAGGTCTGTCTGTGCTTCTAGGTCTGTCTGTGCTACTGGGTCTGTCTGTGCTATTAAGGTATGTCTGTGCTATTGGGTCTGTCTGTGCTTCTAGGTATGTCTGTGCTTCTAGGTATGTCTGTGCATTGGGTCTGTCTGTGCTATTGGGTCTGTCTGTTCTACTAGGTCTGTCTGTTCTACTAGGTCTGTCTGTGCTTCTAGGTCTGTCTGTGCTACTGGGTCTGTCTGTGCTATTGGGTCTGTCTGTGCTATTGGGTCTGCCTGTGCTACTGGGTCTGTCTGTGCTACTGGGTCGTCTGTGCTACTGGGTCTGTCTGTGCCTTCTAGGTCTGTCGTGCTACTGGGTCTGTCTGTGCTACTGGGTCTGTCTGTGCTTCTAGGCCTGTCTGTGCTTCTAGGTCTGTCTGTGCTACTGGGTCTGTCTGTGCTACTGGGTCTGTCTGTGCTTCTAGGTCTGTCTGTGCTACTGGGTCTGTCTGTGCTTCTAGGTCTGTCTGTGCTACTGGGTCTGTCTGTGCTACTGGGTCTGTCTGTGCTATTGGGTCTGTCTGTGCTACTGGGTCTGTCTGTGCTATTGGGTCTGTCTGTGCTATTGGGTCTGTCTGTGCTACTGGGTCTGTCTGTGCTACTGGGTCTGTCTGTGCTTCTAGGCCTGTCTGTGCTTCTAGGTCTGTCTGTGCTACTGGGTCTGTCTGTGCTACTGGGTCTGTCTGTGCTACTGGGTCTGTCTGTGCTTCTAGGTCTGTCTGTGCTACTGGGTCTGTCTGTGCTACTGGGTCTGTCTGTGCTACTGGGTCTGTCTGTGCTTCTAGGTCTGTCTGTGCTACTGGGTCTTTCTGTGCTACTGGGTCTGTCTGTGCTACTGGGTCTGTCTGTGCTTCTAGGTCTGTCTGTGCTACTGGGTCTGTCTGTGCTACTGGGTCTGTCTGTGCTACTGGGTCTGTCTGTGCTTGGTGCTGGGGCAGACTGAAGCCGGGGAGAGAGATGGTACATCGGGCCGTATTCTGGATAAGGGAATGCAGGATGTCCCGTGGAGCCGCCGCTGACTGCAGTGCTGATACAACCCCACACAACAGCGGTCACAGAAAAGAATAGGCAGGCTAGGGGCTTGAGCTGTTGTTCTGCTATAAATAACCCCTTCATGGCCATCCATTCAGCACACACAATACACAGTATACAAGCACACTGCACTATTCAGAGCTGGAGCCATGTAGAGAAGTACGGTATTCAAATATTTGCTTCCATTTTTTATCTCCTAAAAGCTATTAATTCTTTATAGCTTATTAAATACTAATTAAATGTTCAGTCTTTTCTTTTACAGAGAAAGCCCTTTTAGAGGACTTTGAGAAATGTGATTTTCTATACCCCTAACATCATTGTTGATCTCGGAACTTGAGTCTTGTCATGATACTGTAATGTAATCTATGCAAATATGACGCACGCAACTCCTTCACCAGACTGATCCTAACACATACGTTCTGCCACGCCATCTGAAATCGGGCAGCTCTGTGAATTTGACACAGGAACAGAAATGAAACCTGCCGCAGACAGCAGACAAATTGAAAGCGCTCTCTTTCCCCAGACGGCGGATGATTATGTTTTTCTTAATAATTAAAGTATGCGCTCCAGTGGGTAATCAGACAGACAGACGGCACTGAGCCCTAATATTAAGAAGGACGTGGAGTGGCTGACGTTAATATTTATTTTTACTGTGAGCTGGGCGGTTGGGGCGGTGCTCTGCAGACTGATTAAACTGGTGTATGAGACTGACAGATCCCAGACAGGCTAGGGCCTTTCAGCATCAGGTGCCACACTTCTCCCTATAGACCTCCTTCATATGAACAGGGGCCCCACCACATCCACCGGCCCCTGTTAAGATGGAAGAGATAGGGCACCAGTATTGGCCCCTGTAGATGGGAGAGATAGGGCACATGCATGGGGAACAGAGGGGGTAGAGGGGCAGGGCACTGGTCTCTCACCAGCTGACAGTCCTCCAGAGAGTTGACCAACTGGGCGTTCTGGCAGGACAGGATGGAACCAGCCAGGTTGAGCATCACACACACCGCCGACAGCAGCATGAAGAAGGTGATCTGTGGAGAGACAGAATAGAGATGATGAGATTTATAGAGCAACAGTAGACCAACACAATACAGCCATAACATCATGTCCTCTAGGAAATGTACAGGCATTCACTAGTTGATTTAATTTTCATTTTTTCTTGTGGTAGGCAGTAATGTGTTTGTAATGCATGATTACAGTGAGAGTGAAGGCTTCACCAATCAATATTGACTGATTGACTGATTACATTGAGTCATCAGGGGCAGGAAAAGGCAGCAGATGATCACAGAAATCAATAACCCTTTTTCTCAAACTAATTAAATCCATCTAAGATAAACTTAATCTAACCCATGGCTAACCCATCTACTCAGAGGTTAAGAGAACAAACACACAGACATATTGAGATTTGACAGACCAACTCTTTACATTGCTACTAGTAACATTGTCCCTTATAGTTACAGGACTGTCCTTGACCCCTATATATTTTCTCCCAATGCCGTTCCTATCTAGTGTCACCTGAAGACCTAAAGCCCTGATGACGGATGGTCAGGTAGAGGCACCAATCTGCTCCTTATTCCTCAGCCCAACTCCAATCAAC